TGGCACTTCCCATCATACTGGAACTGTTGGAAGACTTTTTTAATCGCCATATATCTTGACTTGAGGAAATAACGGAAATATGGAATTTTTTTTAAAAAAGGTATACCGTCGAAAGCTCTACAAAACTTGTATAGACCAAGTCCTATCAGTGAATCAGAGAAGTCCTCGAAACGTTTTCTACATGATGAGCAGTGATACTGCTATGTAAGTTGTTTCATTGTGAGTATCAGAAAAACCACTAGAGTATATAAAAAAGAATTTGATCATGCAGCTTTTGTAGAGCTTTTCACGGCGCATCTTGTGGAAAAAAATTCAACGTTTTATCATTTACCTAAGTCGAGATATATGCTAAATAAAAAATGTTACAACATTATGAACACTGTGGCAAAAAAGAAAAAATGACTTTTTCTTCTAATACACCTTTCATACTTTAAACTGCATTTGATGATCAATGTAAATATATCAAAAGACGCAGCGCATTTTGGACTTTCTTCCTATATATAGTAGATTGATAGATAAAAAACGTATATTAATAAAAAACAAAGAATTCAAAGGGTATACTTTCAATGGGGGTGGACTGTATATGATAATATCAAGTGAAATTCTAGAACAAGCAAAAAGATTATTGTGTTTGTGGCATTAACGTTGGCGTGATCGTGTCGTTCCGGTGTGAACTCTAGAAGTTTTAGTTCCACCTACTGACAAGATAAATACAACTAAAAATTCTGCGGAAAACAAAATTCATGTATAAACTAATTTATTTTCTATTTGACTTTAGTCGTGTTTGAAAAAGAAAGAAACATTTAATGAATTTTCTTTTTTTCTTACAAAATAAAAATCTCTACTTTGTTTGTAACATATTAATCATTTTAATTAACTTGTCTTTTAATATTTTCATATGCATAATCTATCGAGAAGCCAGTTCACTTTTTTTTTCAATGAATAATTTATATCAATAATCTTTCATACATGAAAAAATGATCCATTTTTTTTCCTTAATCATTCTTTCTTCTTTTTATTATCTCATATCATGTGCATATGTTGAAAATCAATGCCTCATTTTACGGTTAATCAGATTGTTAACCATTAGAGTCCTACATTGGACTTCGAAACTCGATTCCATCGGAGTTAGAATTGATGTAAATGAAAATCCTATTTCATTCTTGTCTTATGCAGTATTTATTTTTAATAATTGTAATATCTAGTCAACAAAACTCTCAATTCAATAAACAAATAAAATGAAAGAAAACATCTATATCAGATTAATTCTCACAAATGATTATTAAAAAAGAAAAGATCAAAATCATTCGATATGTCTACTATCATTATTAGATATATTATCATGATTTTCATGTAACCTTAAATGACAGAGTATTACCGTACACGTAAGCTGTTGCTAATTTATGTGAAAAAGCTGTTCGTGCAATTCCTGAAAATTAAAGTATGAAACACGATGCACTTGCTCTTTTATTATATCTATTTTGGGATACATTTCTTTAACATCATTTTACTTATTCATGGAGAAATGCAATCAGAACGTAGGTCATATATTATAACGAGAAGTTATTTAGGTACAATCTTTAATCGTATATCAAAAACATCTGTCATGGTCTGTGATAACTTGAAGCTAAGAAATTTGTCACGTCTGTTCAATTCACTGTAAGAGCAACTACCTATTATTATTATGCTGAAAAATCTCGATAACAAAAGAAATAACTTTTAGAAAACGAAAATTCCTTATAGATTCACTTCGAACTTCCATGGAAACTTGTTCGGATATGCTCTAGTGATTTGTTGAGGAAAAATGAAATGAAAGAGGTCTTGTAAAGTATAATTATAAGTTAAGAGATTAATATATGTCGACTAAAACTTACAACGCCCTGACAAACTACTATCGAATACGTCTTTTCTTTTTCGAACAGATCATTCCGCTAGGATCTGAGCAGATAATGAAATCTGTGATTAATAGAGTTTTGGAATCAGTTGATGAGATGCAGTTGAAATATTAAAAATTTATGAAAAAAAAACAAAATGAAATTTTTTTCGTTTTATGTAATAGAAAATCTCATGAAACATTGTTTTTCTTTTTATTTATTTATTTAGTAATCTATCAACTTTTTTTGACATGAAACTTAGATAATACGATGTAAATGCAATTGTGTTATTTCATTCATATGCAATCATTTAAAAATCATATCTTCTATTAATAACAATAGATTAATATATTTATTTCAGAAATTTTTATTCGAAAAATTTTCTATCTTTTAGTTAATATTATTTTAATGCAATATGTCTAATGAATATATTGATTTTGATTCTACATCGAACGATAATAATAATAATCGATCTCGTTCATTATGACGTCAATGCACGTGCAACACTTGTTGGTAGAAGTTGTAGTCGATATCGAGCAAATACAACAGGTGAATCTTCATCAGTCTCATTGCTTCGTGAAAAACATCGATCATTTGATAATATCAATATAGGACAACTGTCACCAAAGTGTCATCTAAAAAAAACTCGAAGAAGTAAAAGACCATCCATGAAAAAGAAATTCAGTAGAAAAACCATTACTCGTGCGTTCAAACGCATTGATTTTTTTTCGATGGGTTTAACCGTGTTTTTTTTTATGAACAATTTGAAAGAACTCTTTTTTAATTAGCGTTTTTTCAAGAGAAACATGCTTTATCAAAATAAAATTTCTTTTTATTTAAACATCTTGTTATTCAAGTCAAAGTAAAATAAAAGAACATTCATTGAAAAAATGAATAGGTGTATTCTCCGAAATAATAAACATTTTCAAAGAAAATGAATGAAGATCTATGTCTGAGAAAAATTTCTACAAATTGAATATAACATAAAAAAGTTGACCTTGATAATTTATTTCTATGAAATGAATAATGAAAATTCTGAGTTTTCAAGCTGATATTAGACTTTCTTTAAATTTAAAAAAAAAAGTTTTATGTTTTACTATATTATCAATCTAAAGGAAGGTCAAATAGTAAAAGAATAAATAAATAGCGGTTCTTTTTTAATATTGCTTCATTAACTATTCTACTTTTGGAGTATTAATTTATTTTTATAGATCTTTTAAAATATAAAAGGTAAAGACAAAGAAAATATTTATTATGAAAAAATCAAAGATGAAAATAAAAAAAATATAATAGAGTTAGTTTTACGAACTATATTACCATTTATTTTTCACAATCAAACGATAAATACATCAAAAAATAAAATGTAAATTTCTTCTTCTATTCATTATATATATAGGCATGCTGCTTCCATATAAAACTACGATTGAATTCTATTAGATAAGTCAAAATAAATGTCCTTAATTCGGATCTATCCAAATGAAACAAAAATAAATATATTCCACAATTCAAATACGTTGAATTGAAAAGAAGATTCATTTCGATTAAGAAACAATGCATTCTATAAATTATTATTTTGCATTCTCAATAAATAAAAAAAGAAAATAGCGATTCACTAGATTTTTAGTTATTTTGATGTGTTGTACAAAACATAGACATGTTCTAATAAAAATATGCGTGTAAAAAAAAATAATGCGTTGATATGCTTCTTTTTTTCATGGACAGTTTCATTTCCATATCGTTTAACTTTACTCAACCAAGTTAAATCACATATTATTGAACATCATAAATATTGTCGAACTACATTATCAACATGAAATAATGATAATAAATATTTCTCATTACTATCTGTTATTTCTATTTCAGTAAGTCATTTTGAATGATAAAATATTAGTGCATCTTTTTATTATATATGCATTTCAACATTTCTGTATGAAAATCATTTTTTTTCAATATCACACTCAATTAATAATTCATTACGTTTTTGAGACATATTTCATCAAATGAATATTGCCAATGTGGAAAATAAATTATTTTTGAATCATTGCCAGTAGCGTAAATAAAAAAACAAATTTTAGACGGAATTCAACACTTCGTAAATCTTTTCTAGAAAAGATTCACATCAACAGTCACAGTACAGTCAAAGACAAAAATTTAAACGAAAATGTATTTTTGATTTTTTCTATAACAACAAACATCTAACTGAAATCCAAATAGTGATTCTGATAGTCAATGAAGAACTCTATCAAATGCATCCTATACCAAAATTTCATTGATGATTTAAGGTAGCAAGGTTTTTAGAAAACCCCAAACCGTATTTTTCAGGTCTCAGAAGACTTTGCAATAATTCGTTTTTAACAGTACTAACTTAAAGAACACAAAATTTTGAACAAAATGAAGGGTCGCCGTCTTTTCTATAACCTTCCTTTCAAAAGTTATAAGCATTAAAAAAACTGGAAAAAAAGTGAAATTTATCAAGAAATCGCTAAAAATCGTATTTTTTCGATTTTTGTGATGCTTATAACTTTTGAAAGGAAGGTCGTAGAAAAGACGGCGACCCTTCATTTTGTTCAAAATTTTGTGTTCTTTAAGTTAGTACTGTTAAAAACGAATTATTGCAAAGTCTTCTGAGACCTGAAAAATACGGTTTTGGATTTTCTAGAAACCTTGCTACCTTAAATCATCTATGAAATTTTGGTATAGGATGCATTTGATAGAGTCCTTCATTGACTATCAGAATCACTATTTGGATTTCAGTTAGATGTTTGTTATTATAGAAAAAATCAAAAATACATTTTCGTTTAAATTTTTGTCTTTGACTGTACATTCAAATTTTCTAAAGCGAGGGAAGATTGAAAATTTATAGAGAAGGTTCGATTCTCTCTGGTTACACTACTCATCTGTGGTTTATGCATTTCTATGAAAAATACTTCATACGAACTGATTAACCGTTTACAAACCATCCTATTTATCACAATATTTTTCGTTCTTATTTTTCAAAAAAAAGAAGCAAACGATAGTATGGAGTCCCTACACCTCCCGATTCGCTTGATCGAGTTTTTTTCATATAGTTATTAATTTATTTTGTCTGACATTGATGCACAACACGTAAAAGTTGAGACCCGATAAATGGATGCTATACTAAAAGAAACCAATGAAGTGAGTATGAAATTTATTTCAAATATCGTATACTTTTTTTTTCTAGTCAGAGGCACACGTTCATGTAGAAATTTCGAAAACTTCATATGAATATTAATTAAAAGATATTCTATATTGATAAAATCACTTTGTAAATTGTACAAATCTAGACATTTTCATTTTCTCATCAATAAAAAAAATGACATTAGACCATCAAGTAGCAGAAAGTTGAATAGGAAAAAAACAAATCAATATAAACTCGAGAATGTGATCATGAGTCTCTATTCCTTTCGTTCGCTGGCTTTTTTTTACATGTTCTAATCAAGAGTTGATAAAAGTAGATAGTTTCTGTTATAATTAATCATCTATTGCATTTTCAATGTACATACTGCTGGTCTGCTCTAAAAGTTTATATTTTTCGAGGTATAAAAATCAATTGACGAGAGCAAAAATTACCTCTTTTTAAAATGATTCATGCTTGCCAATTATAAAAGTTCTATTGTATTTTTGAATAAACTACTGAATACACATAAGAACGATGTTGTCATGAAATATTTGTGCTTGTGTCAGGGTGATTTGTTTTTTCTAGGAGATAAAATCATTATCTACAAATGAAGAGAACCAAAATTTAACGACAAATGAAATTGATTCATCTTCACAATTATCTCCTATTGTTAATACAACTATTCAAGATGATTCTGAACAGGCGACGATATTAAATGACTCTTTAAATGTGACAATTGAAGATGAAAGACAACAAAATTCAACACAAACAAATGAAATTAATCAAAAATTAAGTTCAAGTCGATCGAATTTACATAAATTCAAAGAAGAATTAACACGATATGCACGTAATGTTATAACTATACCACCATCACTTCCATCAATTTTAACAAATACATCATCAATCAATAATAGTAATATTGAACAAGTTTATTGGACTGAAATTTGTATTGAAAGAGGAAGAGATTTAGCTGCTAAAGATATTAGTGGTTCAAGTGATCCATATATTAAAGTATTATATGGTAATGAAGAAAAATATATAACAAATATTATATCAAAAAATTTAAATCCAGTGTGGAATGAAAAATTTACATTTTTTGTACATGATTTAAATATTCCAATTTATTTTAATATATTTGATCATGATATTATTGGAGGTGATGATTCAATGGGTACAACAAAAATTGATTTATATAAATTACCATTAGATAAATTATATGCTGCAACACTTGAATTAGAAAATGAACGAAGACGTGATGGAAAAATTGGTATAATTAAAATTAGTATTATAATAACACCAAAACCAATTAAATTTCGTGATCAAGTAAAAAAACATAAAAATTTCATAAAAATTTCTTTTTCATATTTAAATAAAGGTTCTTCGTACATTGGCAAAACGTTCTCAAAAACGATCATTTATTGGTAGTCGTTCAAAATCAAATAATCCAATTATACAACCTCGACGTACAATTGATGTTTTTATAATTCAAGGACGAAATTTAAAATCAGCTCGTATTAATAAAGCTTGTAATCCGTATATTAAACTTAAATTTGATAACAATAAAAAATATCGAACACAAGTAAGATACATGAAAAAACAAAAGAAGATTTTCATTATTAACTACTTACTTACGAGGAAACTATTCTAAATGACAACAATCGTTTGAGTTCATGTTGGATTCACAGGGCAAGTCTCAGTGAGAATAACAAAAGTCTAAAATGGTTTGTTGTCATAGGTCTTTGTCGCCATAGATAGATCTAATGATTCTTAGAATATTTTGAAAGTTTCAGTCGAAAAGAATGTTCTTTCATCGAGTTATCGAATTTTCAAGTGAACATAATTTTTTGTGATCTAAGGGTTATTTTTCGAAATTCAATACCTTGATGAAGAAACATTTCTTTTCGACGGAAACTTTTAAGATATTCTAAGAAGTATTAGACCTATCCATAAACAAGATTTTCGAGAAGTACCTAAAAATGAATATAAAAATTTGGTTAACCAAACATAGACAAAGGTTCATGAAGACGAATCATTTTTGAGTTTTTGCTAGTCTCACAAAGACCTGTCTGTAGATTCAACATGAGATACTCATTTTTGAAAAATTGACAATCATTTTAATGTGAAAGAAGTTCTTGAAAAAATGTTTATAGATTCACCTGATTAAAAACTACAGCTTAGTTTAATATCACATTTTGTAGAGAAGTGTCTACTGTACAAAACTATCAACTCCAACAATTTTTAGTATGTTCGAAAAAGGACTTATAGGATAAACAATTAAAAATAATTTTTCGAATCTTTGAAAAAGTTTCTCACTAGTCTTGAACAAAAATTGAAAGAAAAATTTCCAAGACTATATTCAAAAGAAGCACAAAACTCTGGTCCTGACTGATAGCTTATAACTTATTGAAAATATTTTCTAGTGGATCAAAAATAAACAAACATCTTGTCTAAAAACTTTTCGCTCATCCGTTAGTAGTTTACAGGACTTATTGTTCAGGATTCTAGTAATCATTTTTCATTTGAAAATAAAAGAAAAAGAATTACAATGTAAAAGAAGTTGAAAGTTGGGACTATTCAGACCTATGATTTCTTTTTGATGCCTTAAGAATGTGTATTTTAAAAGTTGCCAACTCATTTTTCTTTTCGCATTAAGTTCTTAGCTACTGAGCAATTTCATAGTTCAGATTCTGATATGAGCTTTAATATAGATCCGTAATCAAATCGGAATCCAACATGTTTCGTTATTATTAAACTTATCTCTTGAAAATTGTATTTTCCTATACATTTAATTATTGTTTAGACAATAAAATCTACTTGTAATCCTGAATGGTATCAATCATTTATGTATGATACAACTCTTAGTGAACTTCCACCATTAGAATTAACCGTTTTCGATGATACTAATGTTACAGCAAATTTTATAGGCCGGTAAATAAATAAAAGAAATATTTTTATTCATATTTTATCTAATTTTTCTTTTTAGAGGAATTTGTAATCTAGCTCATTTAGATGAAGAACGAACACATCTAATACCAGTTGATCTTGAAGATGGTGCTGGTATAATTGATTTATTTGTAACAATAACAGTCACAACAGCATTACAAGAAGTAACTAATGATAGTGAAAGTTCAACTAATGTTGCTCTTGATTTTATTCCATCAAAATTATCTGATGAAGATATTGAACATTATGTTTGTAACATAAAAAAGAAAAATTAATTAATTATATTTATTTCATAGAATTTTTTTTCTACACTTCGATCAATAGCTACAATATTTGATGTTGGCAAACTTGAAATCAAAAGTAAACGAAGTTATTTTTCTTTATTATTATTTTAAACTTTTCTTTATTAAAAAAAAAAAACAAAAAAAAAATTTAGTTTATCAAGCACGTGATCTTAGTTCTAAAGATATAGGTGGTAAATCAGATCCATTTTGCATTGTTGAACTTGATTCAAATCGTTTACGTACACATACAATGCATAAAACACTTGATCCTATCTGGAATAAATCATTTGTTATGCCTGTACAAGATATTCATTCTGTACTTCAATTAACAATTTATGATGAAGATACAAATAAAAATAATGAATTTATTGGAAAAGTTGTAATACCATTATTAGTTGTAAAGAAAAATTATTATTATTTTTTTTTCGATTTTGATTTATTGAATTTTTGTTTTTTGAAGATAAAAAATGGTGAAAAGAAATGGATGGCATTAAAAGATCGAAAATGTATATTACCTGTTAAAGGTGCTATTGAAATAGAAGCAACATTTATTTATACAAATGTACAAAAAATTTTTCTGAAAGAAAATTTTATTTATTTTATTGTTTCTTTGTTTGTTTCTTTTTTTGTAATTTTAGCTTAAAGCAGTCATTCGAACATTTAATCCAAGACAACAATCATATTATCAAAATAATGAAAAATTTAATCCCATTGTATGTATAGTTAATAATATAAATTCTTCTTTTGTCAAACACTGTCTAAAAAGGAGTGCTAAAGAATACGGGTAGAAACTTGTACTTCCTCCGTCCATAGATAATGAAGCCATGGGGTCTGGGTAGGCTCGAGTCCACCTTATATTGAATAGTTAAAGGCTTAGATAGGCTCTAATTATCGTAAAAATTTTCTATTACTGTTTGATTTTCATTGTTATCTAACAAATATCAATTCACATTTTATTTACTACTAACTCATGTGCAATAAACATAGGCGGTGGAACCGCAAGGCTCGAAAAAGCAAAGGTCTACCCTAGATTTACTCAATTGTAGGCTACAGTAGGCTCAAACACTTTTCTCCTTCCATCAGATTAATCAATTTGAACAACCAATAATATTTTTTGTGCCACGTCCGGTGGCTAATAGTAATACTTTCTTAATTAAGCAGACTTGCTAGCATCTGTTAATATTTTCCTTCACCTTCAGCGACTGAGATTACATGCTTATTAAAGAACATTTAGATGAACATAAATATTCGCATTTTTCTTCATATGCGTGGTTTTTTTTTATGTAAGTTACGAATTTTTTTTCTGATCTTCATCATTGTTACACTTTGCACAATGTGGGTTCTATAGAAGAGACATTAACTATATTTCATCCAAGTGACATTCAAAAACTCGTCTTCACTCATTTTTAACTTCCAGATGAGAACCTTATAAAAAAATGTTAAGCCTACCTTAGAATCAAAACATTTCATTGCCTATGCCCCTTCCATTCACAAATCGTGACAGACGTAGGAAGATTACTTCTATCTTACGATATAGACTACTATGTAGTTGAAAACTCAATAACCCGACATCTTCCCTACTACTAATACTAATCGTAGCTCTGGACATAGAGGTGATCTGACGCAGAGTTCTTGCACTCAATTGCTTGAACTCCTCGTACATACAACTAGCCACAAAGGCAGATGTATGTCACAACTTAGTCAAAATGCTATCGAGCGGGTGATCCGAGACAAACATCTGTTAGTGACTTGTGCAGGGTAATTTCATGGCCAGTAGACACGTGCCCAACAATGTAATCACTCAACTATGACGATGAGGATTAAGTAAAAGGGTGATGAAGAAAACTCGTAGGGATTGTGCTAACAGCTTTCTTATTTTGATGTTTATTCATTTTTAAGGCCATAAAACAACATTTAATACGTATTCAAAATATGCTAAAAGGTGTCATTAATGTAGTAAAATTTATTGATTATAGTTTTCGATGGGAAAATCCACGATTGAGTTTTTCAGTTTTAATGGTAAGAAAATAATTATCAAAATATTATTTATAATAATAAAAATTTTAGGTAACTCTTATTCTTATTTGGAATTTTGAATTATATATGTTACCTTCTTTACTTTTGTTCTTATTGGCACGAAATGTTATTATAGGATATCGTCGACGTTATCTTGAAAAATCTCATGCAAATATAGATAATGAAACAGTATCAGCCATTGTACAAACAGATCTTATAGATGAAGAAATCCTAGATAGTGATATTAATACAAAAGTAAATTAATATAAAAATTTCAAAAATAAATTGTTTTTTTTTTTTTTAAGGAACAGAAGATATCATTTACTAATGTTATACGTACAATTCAGGAGACACTTATTGAAATACAAGGTTATATAGATGCTACTGCTTCAACATTAGAACGGATTAGAAAGTAATAGAAAAGTTTTAGTATAATATTTATTCATAAAAATATTCTTTTGTATTTTTAGTTTATTTAATTTCGCTGTTCCTTGGTTATCAATTCTCTTTATTATTCTACTTATATTTGTGGCAATAGGACTCTATTATATTCCACTTCGATATTTAATTCTTGCAGTTATCATTAGAGAATTTACAAAACGACTTGGTAAACCTAAAGATTATGTTCCTAATAATGAATTGGCTGATTTTATGTCACGATTACCTTCTGATCCTGAACTAGTTAGTAATTCTTTTTTTGTTTTTTTTTAGAACGAGAGAAATATATTTTTTTTTCTTGTCTTTTTAATTTAGATACGATATCGAGAACTTAAAGTTCCTTCTCCTTTATCAACACAAAAAAAACAATAAATGTTCGACTACAAATAGTTAATAAGAAAGATACATTTGATTCGATAATGGTTGTACAAAATAGTTTATTATTAAAAGACAATATGGCCTATATCAAAATGACTATTTTGTTCTTTTTGCGTACCGTGGATTATTTTCCTAGACAAAAGTCGTTGCCACTCTTCCTCCCTCCATGAAGTATTACCATTCTTTATGGTATTGAACTGATATTTTGAATGCATGCATGCGACAATAAACTCTGATCACAAGCCCTAATCCATTTCCCATCGGTTTACATGTACTGCAGTTATGATTGACACATATAGTATAGATATGTCAAGTAAATCAGTGAATAGTTTATTGAAACTGCACACTTTCTAGCGAGAATATGTACTCAAAAGTTTTTGTTAAAGGTTGTATCATATATCTACTTCATTATTACCAAAGCCTGTGACACAGAATCAAGATCTTAGTAATGAGTGCTCCTTGAGATAGTGTATTCATGCCGTAGTGCTAATTCGGCTTCATTCAGTGGTGCAGCTCTAAAACTTTTAGAACAGACTTGTTGTTTCATGAGAAATTTTGTAATAAAATTTAAAGTGATCACAAAAAGAAGATGATATCGGAATCATAACTTCAGTACATGTGAATCAATGGAGAACGAGTTGGTGCTTATGGTTCAGATTTATTATCATATGTATGCATCGAATATATCAATTCAATATCACAAAGTATAGTAGCATTTTATGGAGAAGAGAGCAGCTACGTTTGTCCAAGACTATATCTTTTGATAAAACTAATCTTCTCTGATGTATTTACTAATCAATATAATTTCATGAAGTAAAGATATCTTTTAGATGTTGAATTATATGATCCTTTTTTCTTAGCATTATTAATTATTGATAATTTTCAAAAATTAAAATCATCATACTATTCTCAGGGCAGATGTAAATAATGATGATAACAAAATAATTAATTTTGTAAAAGTATTTAGACCATTGGAAAAATACTAATTCTGGTAGATAAAACTTCATACGAGATGTTGCACGCAAGAGACGATCCACATACTGACCATGCACTCAATGAGTATCACGGATTGTTCTTTACTTTAGAAACTTAGTATATAAAGATTATTCTCTGAATATTTTTTCATACATTCATCTGCAAGTTGTGCTTTCTTGTAGTTATATGTCGAACACGAATGCACATATGTGACACTATATATTTTTCGTGATATGATCAATAATGATCTTTAAAATGTGAGTAGCTGACGAATAGTATTTAAGAACTGCAACTACTATATTCTATTTCTTATTCTCTAAAATGACCATTATCTTCAATATATGTTGTAAGGAAATTTAGATCACGCTTCCTATTAGTATAATCATGTATATTTTAATTGAACAAAAAATAACTATATCAGCTTATTCTCTGTTCATTCTTATACGTCCACCACTACTTTCATCAGCACGTATATTGTTCTGTGATTCTCGTTGTTTTGCGTTATTATATCGATAAACGTGAAAAGAAAAACAAAAGAATAAAGAAATCAAAGCAACAAGAGCAGATTTGACTGTTAATGCATGATGTAAGCCTATCTTATTTATGGCATGGATATGACTAATACGTAGTTTTAATTAGTCTCAAGTCTTGAACAATATTGAAAATTGTATTGATTAGTGACTATAATCAAACTAGTTCCCGATAAGATTTAAGATTGTAACTATGGTCAAAAGTTAAAACTAGAGTTGATAGTTATAACAATTTCAACATTCGATCGGTTTACTTTATTATGGAACTTGCAAAAATATACTTTTAATTCGAAACCGTGTATATTTCATAAAAATATGTTCAATAAAACTGATTATAATTTCCACGTTTCATTCGTGTTGTTAAAATAGGAAAACCTCTTAGTGATGCACAGTAAAGAATACATCGGTTCATTTACAGTCGATAGATAAATACTCCGTGTCACAGAAATCGGATCATTTTCCGAGGTAAATCGCAGCATTTATCAAAATCGGCAATTTACCACAGTTAATTGTAGCAATGGAAGCCGATAACCGAACCAATAAAATCGTAGTAAACCGCCGGTTTTTATCATATGGGACGAGAAAACGTAACTTGCAGATGAATACATGAAAAACAGTCACAGAATAGTTTATAAATGCTAAGTTTTGGATGTAGATGTGTGTGAAAAGAAGATCCACACACCCACACCACCACTGATACTCATATCTACATCTAGAGGCGCTCGTACATCAGAACGGAGTAAGATCAATTTTTGTTGCACAAGAATATTCTGTATAGTTGTTGAGGACATCTGGTACAAGAGTTTTATAAAAATTTCGATGGAATTTTTGTCCTAGTTCAATGCAGACGAGATTTATGCCTATTTCAATCCGTTTAGAAATAATCATGTTATGTTGGCAACTGCAATTTTCTCTTTGCTATGGTGTTGATTGCACGAAGATATGATATTTTGAAAAATATCATGTAGTTTTTTTAGAATATAAGTGTTTTTGTTATTACAGCTTTGTAAGTTCTGATTATACGATATTTTTGTCTAAAGTTCACAACTGTTGATCAATTTTCTTTCTCTCTCTTTTTATTAAGATCGGATAATGAAAAATTCTGATACAAGACATATATGGGTAAAGTCCTTTTTTAAAGTTGATATAACTTGAAATCAAGAAAACACGATCCCTCCATCAATGATAATACTCTGTCCAGTCATATAATCAGTCTTGACTAGCCAAATACGACACTAAACTTGCAATATCTTCCGGCTTGCATATTCGGCCAAGAGCTATCTTCTCGTTTTCGTAAGATTTGAACATGTCTCCCTTTTGCTTTCCTTGGATTTTTGTCAATTCTTCATCAGCCATATCCGTCATGGCAGTTTTGACAACTCCTGTTTTGATCATTAGGATTGTATTTCAAAAAAAAATGGTATGAAACATACCTGGGCAGTAAGCATTGACTGTAATCTTATGTTTGGCCAATTCCATAGCAGCAGCTTGTGTCAGACCACGCACACCCCATTTACTGGCAGCATAATGGCTCACCATTGGACCTGATGTGTATCCGACTATACTGCAAGCACCGATGATTTTTCCTCCTGTACCTTGTGCAATCATGACTTTAGCAGCTTCTTTGTATCAAAGAAACACACCACGTGTGTTGACTGCAAATATCTTATCCCAATCTTCTGTAGTAATATCAACGATTGGTTTCACTTGGGCAATTCCTGCATTAGCAACTACCACCTATATTATTAGCTAGAAAAAAGATGAAAAAATCGAAAAAAAGAGATGCTTACATCCAAACTTCCTAGTTCTTTTGCAGCATTTTGCATCATGGTTTCGACCTCTTTATCAACAGAAACATCAGCAGTTATAGCGACAGATTTTCGACCCATTTTTTCGATTTCTTGGTGAACCTTGTTGAGACCTGAAGAACTTCTTTTGATATCGTTCACAGCAACATTAAGACCATCTCTAGCAAGATGGAGAGCAATGGCACGTCCAATTCCTCGAGCAGCACCAGTAACGAGAGCATTGCGAGACATTGTAAACAGTAAGAACTGGAAAAGAGAGAAAAATCAGAAGAAAGATCTTTATCGTTCTCTTGCAGGATAACAATGTGAAACTATTCAGATACATAGTCACACGTTTTTCAATAGCTAAAAACAATATTTTTATAGTTAGTCGCCTATAGTCCGGAATGAGTTTGCCATAACTTGAAAGCGAGTTTATTTCACTTACATGGAAATGTCAATATGAGAAGTCGGTTTTTTGAAGTCTGTACTCTATGTGAATTACGTTCTCTGATATGCATTCCAGAAAGATAAGTGAAACAGTTGGTAGGGACCAAAATCTGTTCGGTTACGCAGTTCAACTAACTTTTCACATTCTCAAAAAAACTTCTTTTACATTATTGTGAGTGAATTAAAATGAACCAAGCCGATATTGTCGACTCTTTTATAGTAAGTAAACATATACTGAAGATTCGATGGTGAGAAGATACGCATTGTTTTTATGACTTATAAGTTGTTATCTTTGTCTGTACTCTTGTCATTTCATGGTTTGAGGTGAAAAATAATACAGGTGGATTTTTTATACTCAAGGACGCTTTTTTTTGTTACAACGTAAAAGATTGTTTTGTCGCTCTAATAGTCTGTAGAAGTTCAACCATATTCAGATTTGCTACAAGTTTTACGATTCCGGTAATTCCATGCTCTAAAAATGGCTGCTTTGTGAGTTTTGAACTTATGTAAATTACAGAAATTTTGATAATTTCTTTCGTATTTTTAAATAAAATTGCATATGTTTCCTTCCATTTGACTTCAAAAGGTTATTAAACGATTTAGTGCGGTTTTTTTGCCTAGATCTGGCAAGTTTTCGATACAAATTTTGAACAAACCGAATTGGATTTTTACACGTTTTTATTTTTTTTTTCTATTTTACTTTTATAGTGCAATATGATGTAGAAAAACAAATAAATAAATAATCAAAATAATAATTTTTTCCTGATTGTGTTGTACGTGAACTGCAACAGAACACATTAAGACTGCTTGAAACATCTTTTCTGAGCTAGTGTGGACGAACTGAAACGAAATAAGTCATATCTCAAGATGCTTTTCCTTTTGTACAATGTAGATGCAGGGCAAAATAAGGCATTTATTACCTATTTCTAGCATTCCCTATCGACGATCTTTTAATCATTGGTTGATGTATTTGAATGACATTCAAAATCTGACCTTTCAAAAAAAAAAATGTTCGATTGGGAATCTCATCGTGGCATACAGAGTATGTGTGATATAGACACATGCATATAGTAGAACATCGGTCTATGTACAGAAGCATTGTGTATATGCAGGAGCGGCTATGAGTATCAAGATTATGTGTGGTATTTCAGCTATGGAGGTATGTGAGTAGGTGAAGCAATACTACTGATTTATACTTTTTCATTGGGTATTTCGACCATTTTTATTCGATTATTTTCAGCATATTCACGATCACACAATAATAAAAAGACCTACAGTATGTAAAATAATTATTTGAACACCCTGTAATATCTATCTTATAAAGCAGATTTCACAAAGATGAAAAAAAACATTTTCTTGGCTCTCATTATACTATTCGATAGATCAAAGCCTCTACTTTATTCTACGAAAAAAAAGATTATCTTTCGAAAAGGTTTTCATAAAATTTTGAAAGATTTTCTATATACTACTTGATTTCCTATTCAAACAAATTTATCTGGATGCCTATAATATTCTTTTGATGGCACTTTTATTCTTCATCAAAATATT